GAGAGGGGGTGTGTAACTGCATGCTGTATCAATTTACAGTGTGTGTTTGCGTGTATGTTTGTGTTTTGCAGCTGTTTATTTTAACTATTTGAATTAGAGATGTCCCGATCCGATCACGTGATCGGGGATCGGAGCCGAACGTGATTTTCAAAAGATCGGAATCGGGAGGGAAAAAATCGGGGATCGGGATTTTTAATTTTTTTTTAAATACTTTTTTAAAAATGTTGTATTCAATGTTACAAAACAAAAATGACCATGGTCAAGTCTTAAAGTCATCCTGAGGCCTTAGTTTTGGTTTCAAATGACAGAACATCATGTATGTGTTGCTTCTTTGGGGCTTGTTTTCATAGACCTGCTTATTTCTCTCAAATCTGGCAACAGAGTGGGCGCAGCGTCTAATTGTAGCAGTAAGCTAACGAGTACTGAAAGCTTTATTTTGTTTTGATCCAATGCTGCACAACTGAACTGATCCAATGCTGCTGTGAAAGAAAGAAGCTATATCCATGTTGGATAGAATATCCAATTTAAATAAAAAAATAACCTTAAGGGACAACTTGAATGCTTTTTTTTCTCTTAATGCTTTGCATAAAGATCGGATCGGGAAAAATCGGTATCGGCAAATTGTCAAAATCAAATGATCGGAATCGGATCGGGAGCAAAAAAAGGTGATCGGGACATCCCTAGGGTCAATGTAAATCTGCTGTGTTTGATGTGTTGTTTAATTGTTTACCTCTCATGTTCGTCAGCTGTCGCTTAAGTTGAAATCTTTGATCTAGAAAAAAGAAACACCAACATCTAAAAAAGTGTATGGTGCATTATTAAAACTGAAAGAAAAGGCATTACACAGGAGACCCAATGAAATCAACTTCATTAAAATTCCACATATCGCCAGGTTTTATAGTATTTGGAAACAATTGAGAAAAGGAAATTGCACAACTCAACAAACAGATATTTTTAGACACATGAACTCAATTGAAAATACTTCAAAAGGTCACAAAAAACAGCAAAGATATTCTAACTTTTAAGCTTCTAAAGGGGCCATATTATGCTTTTTGTGGTATTCCCTTTCCTCTAGTGTAAATAGCTTTGTGTGTTTGTAAATGGTCTGCAAACACTAAAGCTCAAAGGCACAAAATACAAATATGAAGGCAGACAGTCCCATTTTCGATCTTTACACTCTGGATAAATCTGTCCTTCTCCGTGTCACAGAGTTGTTCCTGTCGTGCTAACATTACAGAGGAACCTTTTGGCCCTGTTGGCGATAACACGTCTCGCTGCAGGACAACACTGCACATAATGCGCTGCTCAATTATCCGTACAGACAGATGGTGCGTTGGAGGTGAAGCAGGGCGTGGGACCTCTGTGTGTAGCCACATATTAACCACTGATTCAGCTTCACCTTTGAGCCCGTGGTGGACGTGATGTCGCTTGGGTTTGGCTTCGTTGAACAAACCCTCCTCTCTGTGTCCTCTTCACTTCCCCTCCCCCCCCGACTGCAGAGCGACCAGCCAGGCTTGCAGCGAGCCGTGCATGACTTAATCTGAGTCAGTCATGAGATTATCCACGGGGCTTATTGGTATTATTGCCGGATGTGGCTCGTTGCATTTCAGAGAGCAGCAGAATTCATTTCACTTAACGTGCGTTTTGAGGAGTGATGCTACGGAGGCACAGGGGCGACTGATGACGCTGCAAGACCCGTTTAAAGTGTCCAATGGCGACACACACCTGTATATCCCTGCTTTTTGACCCGCGTTTTATACATATTTGAGCCTGCTTCCTTTAAAAAACCAAGCTGTCCGGTGCTAGAGGGATTTACTTCCTTCCAGGTGTCACTTTATATCAGTAAAATACAATGGCCGACAGGAGCAAACGCCCAACAATGGCCCAAAACATTTTGACTTTGGTTGAATAACAAACATCTTTACTCAAGGTCCACTTCCATGCTTTTTGTGTTCATTTCATCTTTCAGTCACACCTCATGTTCTTCTTAGGCCTACATAGTCATGGAGGGTTTGACAGAGTAATGAGAAACATCTGTAATGTAAAACAAACACATCTGCTTTAACGGCTTTGAGATTTGTGTCAGAAAGGTTCATTAAGGGGCCTTTTATTGACTAAATATCATAACTGTTCTTTGGCGGATAATTAAATATCTTCGGGCAAATTGTTTCTCCAGTATTGTTGTTCTTTTTAGATGAAGGATCTCATCAAATCTAAAGCTTATTAAGGATAAAAGAATAAATGAGAATATCAAGAAAGTCATTTTCTCTAAACACTAACAGCAAAATAAAACGATTAAGATGATTACTAATATTTCTGGCACACCCAGCTGATTAATCAATGTACAATAAGCTTCCCAAAGCTGTGACATTGAAATTAATTTGAGTAAATAAAGATATAAACTGCGATGGATTATATTTCAGCAGTCATTTTCGAGTCTAAACTGATTCCTACATCCTCCTTTCAGATAAAATAAGATCTTTATTAATCCCCGTTGGGAAATTCATAGTTTAACAGCAACAGGGTAAGATTGAAAAACAGGACAGCACACGTTAATACAATTAAGGATAAATCAAAGCTAAAAATGATAAATAACTATAAAATAAGAAATTAATTAAAATGAACATATACATATTTGGTCATGTGTACATATTATTTACATGTGTGTGTGTGAAAGCAGTGTGTATTTTATGTCCAGTAATTGTGTCGGAAGGTAGAAATCAATGGATTAATATGAGATATATTAAGCGGGCAGGAGAGGTTAAGTGTTGCAAAACGAGCAGAGACTTTGGCCGGCTCATTTGTGAACCAGTGCGCCCGCTGGTTAATTGTTAACTGGGAGATAAACGCTGTGTATTTGCTGTTCGTCTGCACAGCGCGGCCTTGGAGAGCGGCCAGCCTCATCACAGCAGCTCAACTGTTCGATACACAATTTTCCAAAGCTGTCAATAATTCACCGCTGTTTGGTGATGTCTGCTGCTTAAAGCCACACTGGAGGAAAGGAAATCAATGGGCGGGAGAAATTATAATTTCACTTTCATGCTTTCTTTAACCTTAACCTCTCTGACTTGGATCAGTGGTTTCCACGGTCACCCCGGGTAACGGTGACGGTCTGTCACAGTCTGTGATCCTGAGCCGAGAGGAAACCAGATATTTATTATGTGGCTGTATCAACCAGAGTCAGTGCTGAAAAGAAAACCCCCTTACAGATTCTGTTGGCTGCTTTCATCTTTTAACTCTCTGATTTCCTGCTAAAACGTTCAATAAATGTTTTTTCCCCACATGGACAATGTCATATTCTGCCCTTCATTAAAGCTTCATGGTGTTAAATGTTAACACCACTCACCATTATGGCTGCAGTATCACATCAATAATAAATACTCTAGATTTTAACATTTGTAGCATTTAATTCCCCCAAAATATAGCTTGACATTCAAATATTTTTGTAACTCAAAATGATTATTTGACCTTTTGCGTTTTATGGGAACATTATCTATTCTCCTACCTGTACACTCAGAATGAAGATACAGCCAGCAGCTAGTTAGCTTAGCTTAGCATAAAGACTTCAAGCAGGGGAAAACAGCTCTCTTAAAAGGCAACCTATCACAAATAAATCTCTCTAATGAACTCATAATATCTCTTTTTTTATTATTATTGTTTCATATTTTGTAATCTTTGGACTCAGCAGGCTAGTTGTTTCCCCCTCTTTACATCTGGCTTGATATTCATTTATATTACAGACACCAGAGAGGTCTTAATCTTGTATTTCAAAAAACACTATGGCATCTCAGGTTGATCTCAGCTACCTTTGTCCTTTGTCCAAACAACCTGACTCAATTCTGTGTCTAAATATGTTCTAATCATACAGATTTCTTTAACACAAGCCATTTGTATGAGATGATTTGGTGATTGCAAGCTTTGCTCAGACCCAGTTATGTGTAAAAAGGAATAATGGCCTTAAAGTTTAAAAACACTAACTCACATGACTTTAAGTCCCAAGAAAATGCTGCTGGGACATTTAAATCCGCTGTTCAACATCTACATTTAAAAGCTACACAGCGACCTACATTTCCTAACAGCAGCAATGGCACTGAATGAATGCAATTAAAAGATATTAGATGTGTAGATAGAAAAGGTGTCCTAATGAGCACATCCTAAGTGATGCTCTGCTGACTGATCGTACCTCCTAATTGAGTAATTACCTCCATTTACTTTGGGTTTGGGCGTACGAGGCCGGATCGTGTCCGATGTTGGTCCATTCTCTGTGTCCTAATGGGCCCCGAGGACCCAGGGCTTTTCTGATAATGAGAGGAACATTAACATTCACTCATCTGCCCATTAGATGCCAATGATCCGCTGCACGGCCGTTAGTTGTTGTTGTGTGGGTGTGTGCGCTAAGCTATGATCGTCTATTATGTTTCACACATAGAAGAAACACTTTCTCCCCCTCAGGAAAACACAAAGGGCTTTGTAGTGATGGATTAGTTAAGGTAGGGACTCTTGGAAAGTCAAAAAATCTAAATAATCCTTAAATTGTAACTGAAGGTATAATGGGAAACAAAGGCTGCCAGTTACTTCTTATGAATCGATCCAAGATAAAACAATACAGAAGATTTCCTGTCAGTAATGGAAACCAAATCAAATCAAACACATGGCTTCCTCAATTGAATGTATTGTTTTTCCAAGTTCTTTTCTGCAACTCAACAGTGATGAACCACTTTACTTGATGTCCCTTAATGCTGTTTGGAGGAGTTAAGATGTTCTGAAACTTTTTTATCTTATTGCAAAACCTATTTTGGAGTTCTTGTGGTACCGTGTCAGAAGCTAAACCTCTTCTTTTGTCCTTGCAGGTCCGAGCAAACGATGCAGACACCGGAACCAACGGAGAGATTGACTACAGCCTCCATCAGGCATCTGAGGCAGTCCAGAGGCTTCTGCGGATCGACCGGTCTACGGGCGTTATCTACGTCAAGGGGCTGGTGGACCGCGAGGAGGAAAGCTTCCTCAAGTTCTTTGTGTTCGCCAAAGATCGTGGGCCCAACTCCAAGAGCTCCAAAGTCCAAGTGATCATCAGCGTCAGGGACCAGAACGACAACTCCCCTGCCATCGAGATCCGTGGTATCGGTTTGGTGACGCATCACAATGGGGTGGCCAACATCTCTGAGGACATGCACATCGGCACACCTGTGGCGTTGGTCCAGGTGTCGGACCGTGACGAGGGGGAAAATGCGGTGGTGACGTGCGTGGTTGCCGGTGATGTCCCCTTTCAGCTTCGACCTGCAAGCGAGTCCTCCAACGATCGGAAGAGGAAGTACTTCCTGCAAACAACTACCTTGCTGGATTATGAGAATATTAAGGATTACAGGATTGAAATTGTCGCTGTGGATTCTGGAAACCCTGCCCTGTCGAGCACCAACTCCCTCAAAGTACAGGTCACAGACATTAATGACAACACGCCAATCTTTTCCCCTTCACGAGTTGAGGTGGACTTTGCAGAGGGCAACCAGCCAGGTGACAAGGTGCTGGTCATCACGGCGGCAGATGCAGACAGCGGCTCTAACGAAGAGCTGGTCTACAGCATCATCGACCTCCATGCCACCAGGCTCTTTGAAATTCAACCCAACTCTGGAGAGATCCGTGTGAAGAACATGCTGGACCGGGAAGAGACGGAGCAGTACGAGTTTCGAGTGGCGGCAGCTGACAAGGGCATTCCTAGCAAAACTGGCACTGCTACCGTGGTGATTAATGTTCTGGACCGCAATGACAATGACCCAAAGTTTATGCTCAGCGGCTACAGCTTCTCCGTCATTGAGAACATGCTGCCACTGAATCCTGTCGGTGTTGTGACCGTCACTGATGCAGATAAGGGTGAGAACGCCCGGGTGAGGCTGTATGTGGAACCGGACAATGGTAAATTTATCATCCAGAACGGCACAGGAACCATCCTGTCCAGCATATCCTTCGACCGTGAGAAGGAGAGCACCTACTCCTTCCGGCTGAAGGCTGTAGATGCTGGTGACCCATCTCGATCCTCCTATGTTGGGGTGACAATCAACGTCCTGGACGAGAATGACAATGCTCCCTACGTCACCAAACCAGCTAACTCCTCCTACAAGTACATGTCACCCGTCACCCCGCTTGACACCCGTGTGGAGGTAGTAGAGGCTGAAGACATTGACTCTGGACCCAATGCTGAGCTAGTCTACACCATCACAGGCGGCAACCCGTACCACCTGTTCGACATCTCGCCCGACAGCGGAGAGATCACACTGGTGGAGGAGTTCACCGGCAAACACAACGGGCTTCACCGCCTGGTGGTGAAAGTCAGCGATAAAGGCAAACCTCCTCGCCACACCACCGCCTTAGTCCATGTTTTTGTCAATGACACCAAGTCCAATGTGTCCCTCATCGAGGCACTTGTTGGACACAGTCTCTACACCCCTCTGGACAGGGACATTGCCGGAGATCCCAACTACGCCCTCGCTCAGCGCAGCAACATCCTGTACGGCAGCCTTGCGGGTATTGCTGGTGTGATTATGGTCATTGTCGCGGT